TCTGCACAAATTGGTCATAAAATGTGATCTGATCATCATCTAAGTCACAACAATAGACAATCACAGTCTGCTTAAACTAATAACACACAAAGAATGAAATGTTGCCATGTTTTTATTGAACACACCATGTAAACATTCACAGTGCAGGTGGAAAAAGTATGTGAACCCTTGGATTTAATAACTGGTTGAACCTCCTTTGGCAGCAATAACTTCAACCAAACTTTCCTGTAGTTGCAGATCAGACGTGCACAACAGTCAGGAGTAATTCTTGACCATTCCTCTTTACAGAACTGTTTCAGTTCAGCAATATTCTTGGGATGTCTGGTGTGAATCGCTTTCTTGAGGTCATGCCACAGCATCTCAATCGGGTTGAGGTCAGGACTCTGACTGGGCCACTTCAGAAGGCGTATTTTCTTCTGTTTAAGCCATTCTGTTGTTGATTTACTTCTATGCTTTGGGTCATTGTCCTGTTGCAACACCCATCTTCTGTTGAGCTTCAGCTGGTAGACAGATGGCCTTAAGTTCTCCTGCAAAAGGTCTCGATAAACTTGGGAATTCATTTTTCCTTCGTTGATAGCAATCAGTCCAGGCTCTGATGCAGCAAAGCAGCCCCAAACCATGATGCCCCCACCACTATACTTCACATTTGGAATTAGGTTTTGATGTTGGTGTGCTGTTCCTTTTTTCGCCACATATATTGTTGTGTGTTTCTTCCAAACAACTCAAATTTGGTTTCATCTGTCCACAGAATATTTAGCCAGTACTGCTGTGGAACATCCAGGTGAAAACTGTAAACATGCAGCAATGTTTTGTTTGGACAGCAGTGGCTTCCTCTGTGGTATCCTCCCATGAAATCCATTCTTGTTTAGTGTTTTACGTATTGTAGATTCGCTAACAGGGATGTTAGCATTTTCCAGTGACTTTTGTAAGTCTTTAGCTGACACTCTAGGATTCTTCTTCACCTCATTGAGCAGTCTGTGCTGTGCTCTTGCAGTCATCTTTACAGGACGGCCACTCCTAGGGAGAGTAGCAGCAGTGCTGAACTTTCTCCATTTATAGACAATTTGTCTTACCGTGGACTGATGAACAGCAAGGCTTTTGGAGATACTTTTATAACCCTTTCCAGCTTTATGCAAGTCAACAATTCTTAATCGTAGGTCTTCTGAGAGCTCTTTTGTGCGAGGCATCATTCACATCAGGCAATGCTTCTTGTGAAAAGCAAACCCAGAACTGGTGTGTTTTTATAGGGCAGGGCAGCTGTAACCAACACCTCCAATCTCATCTCATTGATTGGACTCCAGTTGGCTGACATCTCACTCCAATTAGCTCTTGGAGATGTCATTAGTCTAGGGGTTCACATACTTTTTCCACCTGCACTGTGAATGTTTACATGGTGTGTTCAATAAAAACATGGCAAAATTTCATTCTTTGTGTGTAATTAGTTTAAGCAGACTGTGATTGTCTATTGTTGTGACTTAGATGATGATCAGATCACATTTTATGACCAATTTGTGCAGAAATCCATATCATTTCAAAGGGTTCACATACTTATTCTTACAACTGTACTTGTGTATTAGGGAGGATAGGTAGGTTGGAGCAGCATTATGTAGGGACTTGTAAGCAAGCACCAGGATTTTAAATATAGCCCTATATCTAACTGGTAGTCAATGCAGGGACTGACAGAGCGGGGAAGCGTGGGAGGTGCAAGCGGACAGGAAAATGTGCCTCGCCGCCGCCTTCATTATAGATTGCAGTGGTGCAATCTGGGAACACGTAAGACCACTGAGAAGGGTATTGCAGTAGTCAAGGCGAGAGAGAACAAGAGCATGGACCAGCACCTTAGCCGCATCTGGGGTTAAATAGGGGCGAATGCGCGCTATTGTATTTGAGATGGAGGCGACAGGATTTGGCGATTGATTGGACATGAGGGGTGAAGGAGATGTTGGAGTCAAAAAGAACACCCAGGCAGCGAGCCTTCGAGGTAGAGGTGAGGTAGTGCCGTTGACTTGGAGGGAGACAGACACGGGAGTAGTAACACTTGAGTGAGGAAAGACCAGAAGTTCTGTTTTGGACAGGTTGAGTTAACCCCTTCAGGACAGAGTCAATAGTACACGTTCTGATCAAAACAAAACGTAAACAAAAACTGGAATTTGCGCTATATGTCTGTTCAACCGTAATTCACCTCTTTCATATTAAATGCACCCACACTTATTATATATCATTTTGTTCAGGAGAAACAGGGATTTCATTTCATATCAAATATTTATATATGAAACATAATGTATTATGAATAAAATTTTAAAAACTGTGAGAAATTTTAATTTTTTTAAAAAAATTGTAGTTCTGCCTCACATTTTAACTGTAAATGTCATAATACTGTTAGGTTTTACTGCAAAAAAATGCACATATTTGTAATCAGCGATGACTCACGAGTACAACAGTACCCCCCATTAACAGGTTTTATGGTGTTTTGGAAAGTTACAGGGTCAAATATAGAATGTTCCATTTTCAAATTGAAATTTGCCAGATTAGTAATGTTACCTTTGAGACGGTGTGGTAGCCCAGGAATGAGAATTACCCCCATAATGCCAGACCATTTGAAAAAGTAGACAACCCAAGGTATTGAATGTGGGGTATGTTTAGTCTTTTTTAGTAGCCACTTAGTCACAAATACTGGCCAAAGTTAGCGTTCATATTTGTTTTTGTGTGAAAAAAGCAAAAAACTAATATTTGGCCAGTGTTTGTGACTAAGTGGCTACTAAAAATGACTGACATACCCCATTTGCAATACCTTGGGTTGTCCACTTTTGCAAATGGTATGCCATCATGGGGGTAATTCTTATTCCTGGGCTAGCATACGGTCTCAAAGGCAACCTAACCAATCTGGCAAATTTCAATGTCAAAAAAATGAAATGCAAGCCTTATATGTGACTCTCTAACTTTCCAAAACACCATAAAACCTGTACATGGGGGGTACTGTTATTCTCGGGAGACTTCACTAAACACAAATATTAGTGTTTTAAAACAGTAAAACATACTACAACAATAATATAGTCCATAAAAGTGCAGTTTGTTTGTAAAAAACGTAACTTTTACTTAAAATATCATCGCTGTAATACAATTTACCAGTTTGAAACACTCAAACTATTTGAGTTCAGCGAAGTCTCCGGAGTAAAACAGTACCCCCTATGTACAGGTTTTATGGTGTCTTGGAGAGTTACAGGGTCAAATATAGTGCTTGCGAATTAAATTCTCTGCACTTTCTCCCTGTGTTGTCAGGCATGTCAATCAAATCTTAATTAATCAAATCACATAATTATGCTAAAAGATTACTTAAATATACACATAGAATTTTAATATATATGCATTTATAGGTATTTAAATTCTTTGTGTATACTAATGTAATTATATGTATTTATCTATATATTTGCGGTTATTTGTGTTTTATATATAGATAGATATATATAGAATGTCATTCTAAGTGTATTTTGTTACCTATATATATATATATTAATAACAAAATACAGTTAGAATGAAATTATATATGAATATATAATTTATGTAAAATTTTGTTTCAATATTTTATTTATTTTATTATTTTATTTATTTATTAATGTAATTATACGTATATATATATATATATATATATATATATATATATAATATATGTGTATATATCTATTATATATATTATATACATATTTTATATATGTAACGTCATTCTAAGTGTATTTTAATACTAATATACATACTAATATTAGTATTAAAATACATTACGTATGACGTTACATATATATAATATGTATATATATTATATATATAATATATATACATATATTATATATACATAAATACTTTTAATTTATTTTTAATTTAATTTGATTTATTTTAATTATATTTTTTTTACACTACCTACCAGCAGGGGGACTGTCTGATATTTCAGACAGCCCCCTGCTGGCAGATCCACAGCCAGCCATAGGGGGCCATGTGATCACTCTTTGAGAGTGATCACATGGCCCCCAGGGGCCTCATTCGCCTGGGAGGGCTGCATGGGCTGTCAGGCAGCCCTCCAGAAGAGGATCGCAGCGGAGGTAAGTAGCTGCGATTCCCTGGGGCTCAAAGCTGCGACGGCATAGAACGCCGTAACGGCGTTAAGGGGTTAAAGGAAGTGAGCAGCCATCCAGTTGGAAATCGAAGAGAGGCAGTCAGAGACACGAGTCAAGATGGGCGGAGAGAGATCAGGAGAGGACAGGTAGATTTGCGTGTCATCCGCATAGAAATGATAACGGAAGCCAAAGGAGCTGATGAGTTTACCAAGGGAGACAGTATAGATAGAGAATAGTAGGGGACCAAAGACAGAACCTTGGGGGATACCAACAGAGTGGTGTCGGGGGGAGAGGGGGGGGGGAGGCAGTGTCAGAGAAAGAAACACTGACAAAGCCAACAAGATTAAATAAAATGAACCCTAGTGTGTTAAGTATGTGTTGGAGATGTAAGAATGTAGTAGGAAGCTTTATACATACATGGTGGAGTTGTGAATAAATTAAAGTTATGGGATCAGGTCTATAAAACATTATGCGAACGTGCCAGGACTAAAATTGATAAAATGCCAGTGACAGCACTATTGCTATGGGCTGGCCCGATTTAACAACATTGTAATATTTCTTGGCCAAACACAGCTTTTTATCGGTGAAAATTTTGGTGGCAAGGAATTGGAAACAGTCGTTAGAAATCTGCTACCCTCAGTGGGTAAAACAACTAATATTACAAATAAAGATGTAAACAGGTATATGTTGGAGAGATAATACCGTAGCCAGGAATAAATTGTTTAAAGAAAAATGTTTGGATCTGGTATTGACATTTACGTAAAGTCTGAATAAAATATGCACTTTAGAATTCTGTAGACTTTGGTGCTTTGGAATCCCTGGACTGTTCATTGTAAAGGGGGTCTAGTTTAGGTTCAGACAGGGACTCCAGGTCTGTGTAGGCATCTAAAATCATCAGGATCTGAGAGTGTTGGAACATTTTGCAGGTTGTCCGCATTCTTGGAAATGGCAGTGGAGGCAAGAAGCAGCAACCTGAGAGGATGCAGCTCTGGCCTTAAGAGCCTGCTCAAAGGCCTCTACATCTTGTCTGCAGACCACTGTTCCATTGGAGGCAATTACACAGTCTGGGGACAGATCCTCTGTGTTGGAGCAGGAAACGTTAGGGGAGACAGAGGCTGAGGATTGGAAGGTAGCCACAGCAGCCTCCTTTTGAGGCTCTGGAACAGGAGCAGGGTTAGCTAGGACCATGATGGTGCCATTAGTCTGGTTAGGTGGTCTTTTCGGTCCGGTAGCATGCAGAGTTGAACAATAAAGGTGCCATGGAGAACTTGCTGGATGGTGACACAGAGTCCCCACATGGCCATGTTTAGGGTGAGGACGATGTACAGGACAATAGCTGATGTAGTGGCCTCCCTTGCCACAATAGAAGCAAAGGCCTTTGGCTCTCCTTCTGGCCTTTTCCTTTACCGTGAGCGTGATATTCAATGTTCCAATTTGCATGGGTTCCTCTATGTCCATGGTGGGGATAGGGGTATAGGTCTCACCAAGAGGTTTGGAACGTTGCAGAACGGGCAGAAAGTTGGTTTAAAATCGCTCCTGCTTTCTTTCTCTGAACCGGCGATCTAGCTGGGTGACCAGAAGGAACAGATCTTCAAAATAAGTGTGTACCCTAACTCTGGCTAGTTCATCTTTTAATGCCTCATATAGACCCAGCCGGTACTGTTCTATCAGGACAGTTTCATTATAACCAGTGTCCGACGCCAATTCCTGCCAGAGGGAACAGTGCATGCAGCAGAGGGTCTCAGGGTGTCCCATTAATCCAGTACTGGACTGTGGGAGTGCAGGAGTTGGTGTGCTCAAGTTTGGGGTTTACCCGACAGTAGGGCAATAGTAGTGCAAACCTTCACATAATCATTGGGGTATGTGCGTGGTTTTAAAGTGAAGAGCAGTTCGCAGGCTGTGATAAATGATCGCAGTTCAGTCTTTTTCCCAGTGAACTTGTCAGGTAATGCAATATTAGGTTCAGGAGCATGGTGTGTGTTCTCCTTTAACTCAGCATAACCACGCTGCAATTCACTTACTGTTTGGGACAGGAGGGTCACTTGTTGTGTGAGGGTACTCAGGACATTCATCATCTCCGCAAGTTCCATGGTAGTGATCTTGTCAGGAGTTGGAGCCCAGTTGCAGGAGATGGCATAAGGAGGAGGCAAAAATCAAAAACACAGTACAGATAAAGGGGTAATACAAAGGTAGGGTAAGACTAGAAGCAGAAGTCAGGGCTGGCAGCAGAATATTTAAATAACGCAGTTTACCAGGAGTTGAAGCCCAGGTGGCAAGTATTTTGACTATTCTTGGAGACGTTACGTCCAGCCATTTTAAGGTCCGGTTATACGTTATCCTAAGTCCTAGGTGTGGCACAGTACTGCGTGCTGGATCAACTTGTAATCCTCACATTACGACAGGGCCTTAGTGTCAGGATTACTAGTTGATCCAGCACGTAGAATTGTGCCACACAGATGACTAATAGGTAACGTATGACCGGTCCTTAGAATGGCCGGACTTGCCAGGACAAAGAATAGCCAGGACACTTGCCGAGGTCAGGGGATACAGAAAGAGACACAACGATAAGAGAAAGACAGAAGTCAGGGATACCAGAACACAGGGAAGTCAAAATCAAAGCCAAAGTAAAAAAAACAGAAGAAACTTGAATCAGGAACGTGCTCTCGGACAACCACAAGGGAAACCACGACAGGGCACTGAGCAGGATGAGAACTGGGCCTAAATATCCCTCCTCTAGAACTGATAGACTGTAACTGGCCTTTGACCCCCAAAGACAGTTACCAGGTTTCAATTTGCATAACTGCTGCTCAGCATTAACCCTTCTGTGGATTTGATTGCTGCTCGGCACAACTTTTCCTGTGTGGACAGTAAATGCCATTAACCACATTTTTATAAGCGGATGAATATGTGACACTTAGATCCCGCAGAATTGTGTCAGAACATAGCCGCCTGTGAGAGAAAGATAGAGGAGAATGATCACCGTATGGATCAATTTGCCCAGGCTTTTAGCACGCTCCTTACTAGGATGGCTCATTTAGAACCTAAGGCTTCTCCAATTATGTCACAACTGCGTAATAGTGGCCCACCTATAGTATATAAGGCACCTATGATCTCTATAACGAAATCCCCTGTTAACCAGATTATGAGAAACGGCCTTTTCGGTTATTTATGTGTGTGGGTGGTGATTTCATGAAAATACCAATAAAACGAACAAACTGCCGAATCACCCGACCTCCTACTGAGGTCGTGTGGCGCTCATTAACCGCCCAGACCTTGCGGTTAACCACAGAGTAATTGGGGAACAGCTTGGTGGTCCACGCTCGTCTGCCGAACACGTGGCGGTCGCCATTTTAAATTGTCGAACGCTCAGCGGTAAATGCCGGCGATGCCCTGGAACTCTTTTCGGACACTTATTCAGCCGAACACCGCTGGTGCCTACCAAGGTCCCCGTTCATATGGCTGGAAACACACGAATGCCGAGAACATTTCACCATTCGGGACTTTTATGCAATGCGAAATAGACCGACGCCAGATAGCTACAGTTATGGAACTCTTTCTCGGATACAAACACGCGAACCGCCGGTGAAGTCCAAACTTCATTCGACGATATTGAGAGCTGTGTTCGTGGGATCTGAGCGCAATTCGCCTATTATGTGCGCTCAGATCCAAGCTATCTGGGGGTATGTGGGACTTGAAGTTTATGTGCAGTAAAATATAAGTTATAAATTTTTATACTGTTTGGGGAATATATAAAAAGCCATGTTTTTCTCTACCTGGAGATAATCAAGGTTTCTTTTACTAACTTAAGTTAATTATCTCCAGGATAGAGAGGAGGGATTTACCTATGTAAAGGGGAGTGCTTATGTTGGAACTCCTGAGATTGGCTACTGTAATTCTTTTGTCCCAGTCTTCCATCTGGTCCCCTAGGGGAGTGTACACCAGGTGGGAGACCTGCATAAATACCGGGCAGGTAGCCCCCATAAAATCAGATCGTTTTACCCCTTCATGAAGTCTCGACTCATGCTTGAGGGATTGGAAGCTATAATCACTTTGTTTCAGCTGGATTTCGGGAGAAGCTACAAGGATCAGCACTGCACGAATAGAAGGATGCTTTACAATCTCCTTCCCCGTATTTTTCTGGTAATATCCAGGAATGTAGGGGATTTCTCAATCAGATTTAGTACCACTTTGAGGCCTCACCTGGTTCATTTTCATCAGATAGAGCTAAGATTGGGTATCTGATGAATCAACTTAAAGCCCCTTAACCTGGGCTAATCCATTGTGGGAAAGTAATAAGAGTATCGCTCATTGTTACCAGGAACTCCTGGAGGAATTCAAACTAACGTTTGAACCATTAGGCAGAGAGGAAGACGCCTCCACTGCCCTAATGCATATCAAACAAGGGAACCGGTCTATCTTGGATTATGCCATAGAATTTCGTACCTTGGCATCTGAGGTAGCCTGGACTAACAACGGATTAATCGCTGCTTTTAAAAAAGGATTATCCGAAGTTATACTTGATGAAATTGCTGCCAAAGATCTACCTAAGGGGTTAAATGACTTTATTACCTATGTGATGCAGATCGATAATAGACTCAGGACCAGGGAAATTACTAGAAACAGAACTAGACGTTTGACTATGTCACTAGCACCTTGATTCTCCAAACCTGTTGTCCCTGACCTCTTGACGCTGTCTGAACCTGAACCTATGCAGTTAGGGGTTACAGGACTGTCTGAGGCAGAGAAACCGTATAGAAGAAGAGAGGGTAAGTGCTAATATTGTGGCAAGAAAGGGCATATGAGAGATGCTTGTCCTATACGTCCGGAAAACTTCCGCACCTAAGAACCTTAAGGGGACAGGTCTTAGGTGTAATGGATACGTCCTCTAGTAATTCCCGAAGCAGATTTCTCTTTGACATTTCCGCCTTTTGAAATGAGAAGAACTTTTCATGCAAAGCCCTGGCTGATTCAGGTGCAGCTGGTAACTTTATTGATTTGTATTTTGTAAACATAGAATGTGACGGCAGATAAGAACCATTCGGCCCATCTAGTCTGCCCAATTTTCTAAGTACTTTCATTAGTCCCTAGCCTTATGTTATAGTTAGGATAGCCTTATGCCTATCCCACGCATGCTTAAACTCCTTTACTGTGTTAACCTCTACCACTTCAGCTGGAAGGCTATTCCATGCATCCACTACCCTCTCAGTAAAGTAATACTTCCTGATATTATTTTTTAAACCTTAACTTTGTCCCTCTAATTTAAGACTATGTCCTCTTGTTGTAGTAGTTTTTCTTCTTTTAAATATAGTCTCCTCCTTTTGTCAAAAGAAAGCCTTACTGAAATCTAGGTAAGCAACCCTGATCTATAACTTTAGTTAACCAATCAAAAAAATCAGTAAGATTAGTTTGGCATGATCTCCCTGAAGTAAATCCATGTTGTCTCTGATCTTGAAATCCATGTGTTTTTAGATGTTCATCAATCCTATCCTTTAGCATGGTTTCCATCACTTTCCCCACTACTGAAGTAAGGCTTACTGGCCTATAGTTGCCCGACTCCTCCCTACTACCTTTCTTGTGAATGGGCACAACATTCACTAACTTCCAATCTTCTGGGACTACTCCTGTTAACAATGATTGGTTAAATAAATCTGTTAATGGTTTTGCTAGTACACCACTAAGCTCTTTTAACAGCTTTGGGTGTATTCCATCAGGTCCCATTGACTTATTTGTCTTTACTTTTGACAGTTGAAATAGAACCTCTTCCTCTGTAAACTCACGTGTAATAAATGACTCATTTATCCTTTTTTCTCAACTGAGGTCCCTTTCCTTCATTTTCTTCTGTAAATACAGAACAAAAATATTCATTGAGGCAGTCAGCCTGACCTTTATCCTCTTCTACATACCTTCCTTCTTTTGTTTTTAATCTAGCTAATCCTTGTTTTACTTTTCTTTTCTCATTTATGTATCTAAAAAATGCTTTATCCCCCTTTTTTACTGACTGTGCTATTTTCTCTTCTGTGTGTGATTTGAAAGCTCTTATAATTTGCTTAGCCTCTTTCTGCCTAATCTTATAGATCATTTTGTCTCCCTCACTCTGGGTTTTTTTATAATTCCTAAATGCTAACTTTTTGTTTTTAACTATTTTGGTCACATCTGCGGAGTACCACAGTGGTTTCTTGAATTTTTTGCTTTTACTGACTAGCCTAATGCAATTTTCTTTTGCCTTCAATAGTGCAACTTTTAAATAATCCCATTTTTCTTGGATTCCATTTACATTGCTCCAGTCTGATAATGACTCCTCTACCCATATTCTAATTTTAGAAAAGTCTGTTTTTCTAAAGTCTAAAACTTTTGTTTTTGTGTGGTGTGACTCAGTCACTGTTCTTATATTAAACCACACTGACTGATGATCACTGGATCCTAAACTTTCACCTACAGTAACATCTGATACCAAATCTCCATTTGTTAACACTAAATCTAGTATGGCCTCTTTAAGAGTTGGCTCCTCAACAACTTGTTTTAGAGACAATCCCAGTAGGGAGTTTAGAATATGTGTGCTCCTGGCACAAGTAGCTAATTTTGTTTTCCAATTTACATCAGGAAGATTAAAGTCACCCATGATGATAACTTCCCCCTTCATTGTCATTTTAGCTATTTCCTCAACTAGTAGATTATCTAACTCTTCAATTTGTCCAGGAGGCCTATAAATCACACCTACACGAGTTACTGTGTGATTACCAAATTCTAACGTAGCCCAAAAGGACTCTATGTTTGCCTCACTAACTTTTATTAGGCTAGATTTTATGCTATCCTTCACATACAAGGCCACTCCTCCCCCTTTCTTGCCTTCCCTATCTTTCCTATATAAAGAGTACCCTGGTATTGCTATGTCCCAGTCATTTTTCTCATTGTACCATGTCTCAGTAACAGCGACTAAATCTACACTATCAGTTGCCATTATTGCCACAAGTTCATGGATCTTATTCCCTAAACTGCGAGCATTTGTAGACATGACTCTAAGCTTATCATTTTTTAACACACTTGCTACAGGCACCTTCTGTCCTTGTTTTGGGGGACAATTGGATTGATG